CTGTCTCCTTGTGTCTTTGCTGCTGTCTCCTTGTGTCTTTGCTGCTGTCTCCTTGTGTCTCCTTGCTGCTGTCTCCATGTGTCTCTGCTGCTGTCTCTTTGTGTCTTTGCTGCTGTCTGCTGTTGTTTATTTGCTGCTGTCTCCTTGTGTCTCCTTGCTGCTGCCTGCTGTTGTCAATTTGCTGCCGTCTCCTTGTGTCTCTGTTGCTGTCTCTTTGTGTCTTTGCTGCTGTCTCCATGTGTCTCTGCTGCTGTCTGCTGTTGTCTATTTGCTGCTGTCTGCTGTTGTTTATTTGCTGCTGTCTCCTTGTGTCTCTTTGCTGCTGTCTGCTGTTGTCTATTTGCTGCTGTCTGCTGTTGTTTATTTGCTGCTGTCTGCTGTTGTTTATTTGCTGCTGTCTCCTTTTGTTTTTGTTTTGGTTGTCTCTTTGTTGCTGTCTCCTTTGATGTTTTTGTGTTTGCTGCTTTTCTTTGTTTTGTTCGGTCTCTGCTGTCTCCTTCTCTTAAGTGTCTCTCTGTTGTCTCTGTTGCTGCTGCTGCTGCTGCTGCTGATTTTGTCTCTTCTGTTTGCAGTGTCTTGTCTCCTCCGTTGTCTCCCTTGCTGCTGCGCGTGCTGCTGCTGCTGCTACGCATGCTGCTACTGCTGCTGCTGCACATGCTGCTGCTGTTGCTGCTGTGACTGCTGTTGCTGCGCCGATTGCAGGGGACGCATGATCTTGTTCGTCAGCAGCAGCAGCAGCAGCAGCAGCAGCACGGGAGCGGTGGCGCGAAGCAGCTGCAGCAAGGCTCGTCTAGGCAGCCGCAGCAGCAGCAGCAACAGCAACAGCAGCAGCAGCAACAGAGGCAGAAGCAGCAGCGGAGACGCGCAGATGATGCAGAGACGCAGGAGACACTTACATCAATTGCAGCAAACGTTTCTCTTGCTCTCGAAGCAGCAGCACGCCTAAACAAGATATACGCAGCGCAGCAGCAGCAGGTAAGCAGCAGTAGCAGCAGCAGATGCAGCAATAGCAGCAGTTGCTAGCAGCAGCAGCAGCAATAGCAGCAGATGCAGCAATAGCAGCAGCACTAGAAGGGGTAGTATAGACGCGTTGCAGCTTTCACTGGTGTGTTGCTGCTCTGCAGCATCAGCTGCTGTTGCTGCTGCTGCTGCTGCTGCTGTTGGTGTGCAGCGGGGGGACTGCCTCTTCTCTGCTGCAGCAAGGAGACGCATCGACGCTATATGCAACTCCCTCAAGGAATACCAAGGCGCTTAACTGCTGCTGCTGCTGCTGCTGCTGCTGCTGCTGCTGCTGCTGCTGCCAGCAGCCTGTTGAAGCGAGTTCGCTCGCAGCAGCAGCAACAGCAACAGCAACCGCAGCAGGAGCAGCAGCTGCAACAGCAGCAGAACGACAGTGTCCTGCAGCAAGCGCCGCAGCAGAAGGAGCTGTGACTGCTGCTGTTGCTGCTCGAGCTGCTGCAACAGCCGCAGCAAGTGCTGCAGCTAGAAACTCGTTCTTTAAAAAGCTTCGGCTCCGCGAGCCGCATTAAGTTTATCAGGGTCAAGGGTTTAGGGTTTAGGGTTTAGGGTTTAGGGCGTTCAGGCCCAGGGGTGTCTGCGCACCTTATGCAGCTGCCGCTTCTACTGGGAGGCAGCAGGAGCTCGCTCACAAGCATTGCGCAGTCATAGCTAGCTGTAGCTAGCTGTGTCTCTTTGTAGCTAGCTGTGTGTGTGTGTGTAGCTAGCTGCCTCTCTATGTAGCTAGCTGTGTCTGTCTGGCTAGCTAGCTATGACTTCGTGCAGCTAGCTAGCTATGTCTTCGTGCAGCAAGCTAGCTATCTCTTCGTGCAGCTAGCTAGCTGAGTCTTTGTGCAGCTAGCTAGCTATCTGTGTATGGCTGGCTAGCTGTGTCTTCTTGCAGCTAGCTATGTCTTCGTGCAGCTAGCTAGCTATCTCTATATGCCTAGTTAGCTACGTTTTCGTGCAGCTAGCTAGTTGCATTCGAGTGTATGGGCAGTTGCTGCAGTGTTAAGAGGGGGGGCTGCGAGGAATTTCCTCTCCCTTTTTGTCCTCTACTAGCCATCCTGCTGCTGCTGTTGTTGTTGCTGCTGCTGCTGCTGCATGTACACCTGGTGTAGCAGTAGCAGCGCAAGATGCAGCAGCAGCTGTCGGCTGCTGTTGCTGCTGTAGCTGCAGATGCATTTTTCTGTCTGTTAGTGCATATTATATACATAGAAGGGCTAATAATTAAATAAAATTAAATAAATTAAAACAAATAAACTCAAAAATAATAAATTTAAACAGACAATTCAGTCGGAGGGAAGCAGCAGCATCAGCGCCGGCCGCTCGCTGCTGCTGGGGGTCTGCAGCTGTTGTTTTTCTTCTTCTTTTCTTCTTTTAATGAATTAATTTAATTTGTTTAATTTATTGACTTTAATTTTATTTTATTTCTTTTTAAACGCCCCGTTTATTCCTATTCCTCGCCTTCTCTGCCGCAGCAGAGAGCAGCTGCAGCAGCAGCTGCACAGACACCCCAGAGCCGGCGCTCCCTCAGCTACAGAAGACAATAAACAAATTAAAGTAAAGAGTCTCTTTATTTATGAGAGAATACAACAGCAACAACAAACACACTTCCTATCTACTGCAGCAGCAGCAGCAGCAGCAGCAGCAACAGCAGCAACAGCAGCAGCAGCAACAGCAGCAGCAGCACTTCCTCAATCCGTGCAGCAGACGACTAACGGCTGCTGCGGACCTATGGAGACAGCCGAGGAGCTGCAGCAGCAGCAACAGCTGCTGCTGCAGCAGCAGCAACAAGTCTCACCTGCAGCAGCGGAGGCTTCTACGGTCTCCTCTCACGAAAACGGAGATGCAGCAGCAGCAGCAGCAGAAGCAGCAGCAGCAGCAGCAACGGAGCCATGTATACGGCGAGAAGAAATGAAGGCGGTGCCGCCGCCAACAGCAGAGCGGGAGCTGCCTAGCAGCAAGACAGCAGCAGCAGCAGCAGCAGCAGATGCTGCAGCAGCATTGCGTGGCTTCAGTGTGGAGGAATTGAGGGACACCTACAGACGAATGCAGCGTGCTGCTGCTGCGCTGCAGCAGGAGCTGCAGGAGCAGCAGCAGCTGCTGCTGCAGCACGGGAGGCGCCGGAGGGCTCTGGACGCGGAGCTCGCCGATCTGAAGCTGAAGAGCAGCCGCCTCCCCTGCAGCAGCAGCAGCAGCAGCAGCAGCACAGCAGCAGCAGCAGCAGAAGAAGAATCTGATGAAGAAGATGTTCCTATCTTCCTGAGACAAGACCCTCTTGTCGCAGTCCCCTGCATGATAGGGGGCTTAGTTAGCCGCTGCAGCAAACCAGCGCAGCAGCTGGGGGCTTCACTCCTCAGCGGTGTGCAGCAGCTGCAGCAGCAGCTGCAGCAGGAACTGCAGCACTTGCAGCAGCAGCAGAAAAAAGCCGAGGCAGAAAGAAAAGCAGCACTTACGCAAAAAGCGCTTCAGAGACAACAAGAGAGATTGGAGCATATGGAAATAGAGAGACTCAAAAGGCAGCACCTGCAGCAGCAGCAGCAGCAGCAGCAGCAGCAGCAGCAACAGCAGCAGCAGCAGCAACTGCAGCAGCAGCAGCAGCAACAGCAGCAACAGCTGCTGCCACCCCAATATTATATGCAGCAGCAACGACGCGGACAACGGCTACAACACCCCCTACAGGAAAAGCAGCTGCTGCTGCTGCAACAACAGCAGCAGCAGCAGCGTCTGCTGCTGCAGCAACAGCAGCAAAACCGGAGGTTTGCTGCTGCTGAGAGGGGACTGAAGCAGCAGCTGCAGCAGCGAGACAAGAGTTCCTTCATGGCTAGACTGCAGCGCCTCTTCAGCGACACCACGACTTCTCCGCCTGCTGCTGCTGCAGCTGCTGCTGCTGCTCCTCCAGCAGCAGCAGCCAGCAGCAAGGACCCTGTTTCTTTCGCCAAGCAGCAGCACCAGCAGCAGTACCAGCAGCAGCAGCAGCAGCAACAGCAGCAGCAGCAGCAGCAGCAGCAGGGAGCGCATGC